TTGTTTTTGACCGGGTAAAAAATGTGTTTTTTACACTACCATTGAGAAATTTTAACCAAACTATGTTACAGACTTTTCATTAAGACCCTAAAGAATCATATCAACTTGTGGAAAATGGGCATCCTATGACCCCTTTAAAGCAGTACTGCAAGTCCCAAGAAGGGGGCTCTGCTCTGCTCTGCTCTGCTCCTCTTTTATCAGCTGTTTGGACTCTCATTCTGATGGCACCCATTCACTAAATTGGTGAGCAAGTGATGTAATGCTAAATTTCTCCAAATCTGTTCCAATGAAGAAACAAACTCATCTGCATCTTGTATGACCTGTGAGTTCCTTTTTTATCATTTTTTCTTACTTGCAGATTAAAGCATCTGCTAAGGAAGAGGGGGGGAAAAAACTTCCATTACAAAATTACTAGATATTGAATCAAATATTTGACCACTGAATGCTATTACTGACCAGAATCAATTATGACAAGTTCAGGTAACGAGTAACAATAAATGTAAAAAAAAAAAAAAAGGTTATGCAGAATTATTCAGTCCTTCAAACACCTCAGGAACTGAATCTGTAATATTTGTAACTCAAGGAGAGTTGTTGTATAACTGTTAAAAAAAAGTGGTTTATTTCACTACATTACTAATAGTAGTTGAAATATATAGTAAAAAAAAATAGTTTAAATATAGTTATAGTAGTTGAAAATGGTTAAACTGTGCTGCCGAAAGTACTGACAAGCATTTATGGTAAACTTAAGTATAATTTAATGTAAATCTATTAACTTTGAATATTTATTAATAATCTACAGTTAAAATATAATAAAGTACTTTACACATGGTTTAATATGTTAGTCAACACATCAAAATAAGTGCACAACTTCAAAACACAACAAAAAATGATTTAAAATATACTAATAAAGTAAAACATTTAGTTTGTCAAAATTGCACTTTTTGAAAGTACTTACACTTAAGTGGCATTTATTTATTTAGTTAGTTAGTTATTGTAGTACAGTTACAGTAGTTTTTTAAAAATATATTCTTATACTTTAAGATACTTATATAATAAGATTTCAAGTGCACATTCACTGCAATTAAGTTCAGTTCTTTTTCACAAGAGGTATCGTCTAGCTGTCTTTTATATAATTATGTAATAATTGTGTAATTATACTTTTGTTTTGCAGTAAAAAAAAAAGATTACTTTTGAGATTTAATAATTAATGCATTGATTGGTTAAAGGTTTGGTTAATGAATTATGCAATTATATTTACGTTCATCACAACAAATATGTGTGTGTGTGTGTGTGTGTGTGTGCTTCAACTGTGAACCAAATGACCTCTGACTGTACTTCTAGATGTGACCACAATTAGCGGATGGACCATTAACATTACATTCAAATAATCCGTTTTAAAATCAAACCAAAAGTGCATGTGGATTTGCCTGTTTCAGTGTATTTGTATGTGTGGTTTGTTTCTGTGTGGTCTGTGTGTGTGTGGCCTGTTTGTTCACGTGTCTCAGACTGTGCTTGTGTTCGCATGTTCTTGCTTTGTTCTGTTTTATAGGGTTTGGGTCCCTGCAGAGAGGAAATAGGGATAATAGATGTTCTGGCTAAATGTAATTACTGTCACTGTGTGATATATTATGAACTTCTCTTTTGTTTTACGGCCTAACCAGAAAATGGCCTAACATAGCTTTGATCAATTCATTTTACTAGTTTTATTCTCTCTAGTTGTTTTTTGTTCTTTACTTTATAGTAACCTTTATTATGGTGTAATAGAGACTTAATGTAGCTGTCAGGTTTCTGGAGTTGCAGTCGCAAACGTAGATAAATGAAGCGAATCCCTGCGGAGGAACAAAGATAAACAGTTGCAGTCTTTGAACGGCTGCCATAAAGCAAACTGATACAAATGCAGAGAGATGTTAAACACCGTAGGCTGATGCCACTGAAGACTGATTTCATAAAGGCTAATCTGCCGTTCGCAGTGTGTGAAAACTGCATTTTTATGTGCTTCATGATTTAAGCAAAGAAATTCACCAGCAAATCAAGACTATCCAAAAGCACTAAAGTAATTTCTGCTATTAACGTTTGTGATTTCTGCAGGTAAGAGTCCTTCTCAGGAGTTTACAGCTGTCATTCAAGCGGTCACACCTCTACAGTCCCAACAGCAGCCCATATTCAAACTGATCCATGCGGTCGCCAAGTCCAAGTTCTGTGCACAGGTGAGAATATGAGAGCAAATAATGAGACTCAATGACAACTCTTCCATTATTATCTATGCTGCAAATGTACATCAGGTTAAGGGTCATTCACGCTGCCAGCGATTGTTTGCCGGAGGTTACATTGTTGCTTAGAGTTCTTTCTTTATTGGCAGCCTGCACAACTGGTTATATTAAATCACAAATGAGATGTATATGAATAAGTATAACTCACCAAAAAAAAAAAAAAAAA